CCTTTTAAGCTAGCTGTTCATTTTGTGAATATTAGTTAATGCTAGATAATATATCCATTGAACAATATGTTATAACTGCAATATATGGCTATAAGTTGAAATTTGACAGGAGAAAAGATGCCACTGTCAATGCCTCCAAGTTACGGAATGTCGCACTGCCTTCAAAATACCTTTCATGTTATACCTCTGAAGCATCCACTAGACAGAGTGGGTGAAGGTGTCAGAGTTGATCTCTATATTACATTTGCAAAATTTCATTTCCTACCTTTTTTATAAAACAGTTTTTATGGCCAGGTGCGTAGGCTCATGCCTGTAATGCCAGCACTTTGGGAGGCCAAGGCAGGCAGATCATGAGGTCAAAGAGATTGAGACCATCCTGGCCAATATGGTGAAACGCCGTCTCAACTAAAAATACAAAAAATTAGCTGGGCATGGCAGTGGACACCTGTAGTCTCAGCTACTCGGTACTCAGGAGGCTGAGGTGGGAGGATGGCTTGAATCCGGGAGGTAGAGAGTGTGGTGAGCTGAGATTGTGCCACTGTGGCGACAGAGTGAGACTCTGTCTCTCACACACACCCAAAATATATGTGTGTGTGTGTGTGTGTGTGTGTGTGTGTGTGTATATATATATAAAACACAAGTTCTAATATTTTCTTCCATGGAATGTTTTCATGTCTACTCTGGAGATGAGTCCACTCTAAACCATTGTTCTTCACAGTATGATCCACGAACTAGCTGAGTGAGCATCCTTCAGAAGACTCTTAGAAATGCAACATTCAGGCCCCTCCCCAAACCCACTGCATCAGAATCTGCAAAGCAAGATTCTCAGGATAATCATACATTCATTATAGTGTCAGAAACATTGGACTAGAATAAACTTCTGCCCCAGGCGGTGGAAGCCTGGATATTAGCATTCTGAATATAGGGGCAGGGCTTGAAGATCCACCTTTCTTGTGCAGTCTTCCTTTTAATGCCCTTGCTTTCAGCTCTATGCCTCACTCTCAGCAGTGGCTCTGTCCAGTGTTTCCCAAACCACCAACTTTTCCTGGTGAATTTCTTCAGAAATGAAATTTCCATAGAGGCATCATGGTTTTTTGAACCTCAGTACCTTCATGCAGACTTTTTCTGCTTTCCTCTGCCTGAACTGTTTTCTCCCTCCTTCTCTCCTTCACAATGCCAATGCCTATTTGTCCTTTCAAGACCCAGTTCAAATGCAGGTCTCAGGAACATTTTCTCTGGCCTGGCCACCTCACCATCCCTCTACCAATACAAACTCATGAGTAACAGAAACGCCTCTTTGGAGGCAGTCACATTACCCCATGCTCACCTCCATCTTTTTATAGGACTTCGTAATTGCTACCTTATCTCTATCTTCAACTGAACCGTAAGCATTTAATGGCCTTTACTTCCCTAGTACTCAGCACAAGGCCTGGCATGTATAGAAAGTTCTCATTAAATACCTGTCAAATAAAAGAATGTGTTTGGGCCCAGTGCAGTGGCTCATGCCTGTAATCGCAGCATTTTGGGAGGCTGAAGTGAGAGGATCACTTTAAGTAAAGAGTTCAAGACAAGTCTGGCCAACATGGTGAAACCCCGTCTCTACTAAAAATACAAAAATTAGCCAGGCATGGTGGCACACATCTATAGTCCCAGCTACTCAGGAGGCTGAGGCAGGAGAATTACTTGAACCTGGGAAACAAAGGTTGCAGTGAGCCAAGATTATGCCGCTGCCCTCCAGCCTGGCGACAAAGCAAGGCTCTTCCCCACCAAAAAAAAAGAAAAAGAGATAAAGAAATCTGTCTGAACCAACGTGGAACAGGTCTCTTCATCTATAGTGGAAGCACAGACTCCCTATAAAAGCGTCTTCATTTATGCCCCAGCAGTATGGCAAATTTCTCCAGGCTTCTTTTGCTCTGGGTGACATTTCTGTCATCTCTAATTTCTGATTTGCTGACTCATAGCTAGAAGTGCCCTCTCAGCTTGAACCCCTTGGACTGAAGCTAGTTAAGCTGCCTACCTAACTTCTTTTTCCACATTGACACTGTGTGCTAATTTTTCACATAATTTCAGCACCAAAGAGTATACTTTTGTCATTTCAAGGATGTAGTAGAAATGAAATCATAAATTTGTCTTTGAAAATTGGCTTTTTTACTCAGCATAATTCTCTAGAAGTTCGTCTAGTTATTACATACTTGTTCCTTTTTGTTACTGAGTAGTAGTCTTTGGTATGGATGCACCATATGTTCATCTCTTCATCCATTGAAGGACTTCTTCCCTTTCCCTTTTTCTTCCCTTCATTTTCTTCCTTTCCTTCCTTCCCTTCCCTTTTTTTCCTTTCCCCTTCTTTCCCTCCTTCCTTCCTTCCTTCCTTCCTTCCTTCCTTCCTTCCTTCCTTCCTTCCTTCCTTCCTTCCTTCCTGTCTCCCTCTCTTTCCTTCCTCCTTTCTTTCTCTCTCTCTCTTATTCTTTCTTTCTTTCTCCAGGCTATTTTTAAAAAATATATATTTTATTGTGTTTTAGGTTTTGGGGTACATGTGCAGAACATGCAGGATTGTTGCATAGGTACATACATGGCAATGTGGTTTGCTGCCTCCATCCCCATCACCTATATCTGGCATTTCTCCCCATGTGATCCCTCCCCAACTCCCCATGCCCCGCTGTCCTTCCCCTGTTTTCCCCCCACAGACCCCAGTGTGTACTGCTCCCCTCCCTGTGTCTATGTCTTCTCATTGTTCAACACCTGCCTATGAATGAGAACATGCGGTGTTTGATTTTCTGTTCTTGTGTCAGTTTGCTGAGAATGATGGTTTCCAGGTTCATCCATGTCCTTACAAAGGACACAAACTCATTGTTTTTTATGACTGCATAGTATTCCATGGTGTATATGTGCCACGTTTTCCTTGTCCAGTCTATCATTGATGGGCATTTGGGTTGGTTCCAAATCTTTGCTATTGTAAACAGTGCTTCAATGAACATTCATGTTCTTGTGTCCTTATAATAGAATGATTTATAATCCTTTGGATATATACCTAGTAATGGGATTGCTGGGTCAAATGGAATTTCTATTTCTAGGTCCTTGAGGAATCACCACACTGTCTTCCACAATGGTTGAACTAATTTACACTCCCACCAACATGCTATTTCTCCACATCCTCTCCAGCATCTGTTGTCTCCAGATTTACAGGCTCTTTTTCAAAATGACTTAATCATTTACATTTTCATCAACAGTATACAAGGCATTCCATTTTTTTCATATTTTTTCTAGTATTTGGTGTTGTCACTATTGTTTATTTTAGACAGTTTGATAGATGCATAGTAATAACTAATTGTGGTTTTAACTTACATTTCTCTGATGGCTAATGATGCTTAGCATCTCTTCATGTGTTTACTCTCTGTATATCCTCCCTGGTGAAGTGTCTCTCCGTGTTTTTTGCCAATGTTCTGATAGTATTTTTTTAATGTTTAGTTTTGAGTGTTCTTTATCAATTTTAGATACAAGCTCTTTGTCAGATATGTGGTTTCCCAATATTTTCTGCCAGCCTGTGACCAGTCCTTTTGTCTTTTAATAAGACCTTTTATTAAGTAAATATGTTTAAATTTTGGTAATGTTCAATTTATAAACTTTTTTTTATGTATTATACCTTTGGAATCAGGTCCAAGAAGTCTTTGTTTAGCCCTAATTACTGAAGTTTTTTTGTTTTTTTCTTAAAAGTTTTGTAGTTTCACATCTTAAATTTAGATCTGTTATTCATTTCAAGTTAATTGTTTGAATAAGATATGAGACTTAGGCCAAGTTTCTTCGTGTTTTCTTAAACTTATGGCTGTCCTTTTGATATTGTAGTTTGTTAAATGGATCACCTTTCTTCCATTGAATTGCTTTTACACCTTTGTCAAAATCTTTTGGGCATATGTATTAGTCCGTTCTTGCACTGCTGTAAAGAAATACCTGAAACCAGGTAATTTACAGAGAAAGAGGATTAATTGGCTCAGGTTGCTGCAGGCTCTATAGGAAGCATGGCTGGGGAGGCCTCAAGAAAGTTTCAATTATGGTGTAAGGTGAAGGGGAAGCAGGCACGTTTTCACATGGCCAGAGCAGAAGGATTTGGGGGTGGGAGGCACAGATGCTAAACACTTTTAAACAACCAGATCTCATGATAACTTACAATCACAAGAACAGCACCAAATCAGCAATCCATCCCTATAATACCTCCCACCAGGCCTCACCTCCAACCTGGGGATTACAGTTTGACATGAGATTTGGGCAGGGTCATAGACCCAAACCATATCAACATAATCTTGTGAATTTATTTTTGGATTCTCTGTTCTGTTCCATTGATCTATTTCCTGTCCCTCCATCAATACCACAGTCTTGATTCATGTAGCTATGTAAAAGTCTTAAAACAGGACTGATTTTTCCCATTTTATTCTTTTTTCAAAATTATTTTAGCTATTCCAGTTCCTTTGCATTTTCATATAAAATTTAGACTGATCTTATACTATTTATCTAACAAAAACCTTGCTGAATTGTGTCAAACCTGTGTATGAATTTGGGGAGAAGCAATATATTTACTATTTTGACTCTTCCAATCCATAAACATTGGATTTCTCTTCATTTATTTAGATCATTGATGTCTTACATCAGCCTTGTGTGGTTTCTAGCATACAAATCATGTACGTCTTGTTAGATTTACACCTAAGTATTTTTTTAAAGTTATTGTAAAAGTATCATGTTTTTAATTTCAGTGTCCATTACCAATATATAGAAAAATAATTGATTTTGCATGTAGATCTTGTATCCTGCCACATTGTTAATTTTACTTATTAGTTCTAGGAGAGTTTTTTCTTTTGTAGAATTTGAAATTGTCTTTCTTCTTTAATAAGGACTGTTTTATTTCTTCTTTTCAGATCTGTATGCCTTTTATTTCCTTTTCTTGCCTTATTTCACTAGCTAGAAATTCCAGGCTCACTGTAGCCTCAATTACCTGGGCTCAAGCTATCTTCTTTTTTTTTTTTTTTTCTGATGCTTTTCATTATCACAGAACACACCACCTGTAATGTGTGTGAAAAGGAAATGAGGGGTGGAAGGAGAGTAAGTCAAATTCAGAAAGGCTGGATGGTCACTTCATTTCTTCTCTTTCTTCTTATCCTTTTCGTTCATGGCCAGGATCATCGTGAGTTTTCTGAAGAGAGTAATGAAATCTAAGAAGAGATCAATGCAGTGCCAGATATAATCTTGATCTCCATTTTCAGCCTTTTCAATAATGAGTTGAGTATCAAAAAGGACAAAGCCACACATGACCACCAGTCCCACATATAGGTTTGCTTGGAAAAGCCAAATGGATCCAAAGAAAACATTCCCCAGGGAAGACAAAAGCAATAGGCTCAGGGCTGACATCAAGATACCTCCCAGAAAGAGGTAGCTACGACGCTTGGCATAGAGTGCACTCAGGGTAAAGCAGGTGAAGATCATTGCTGTGCCCATGAAAGCGGTGGGAAGGATGCTGGGGTTGATGGCAATGCAAAACTCCAGGGCAGGGCCCAGGACAACTCCTGTAAGGAAAGCAAATCCAGCAAGAAGTCCCAGTCTTTTTTGCTCAGTTTCATGGCTGTGAGGTGTTGCCATCAGCCAAATCATCAATATCAGGGAGCCCAAAGCAGACAGCAGGCCAGCCTGAATGAAATGAGTGATCACATGGACATAGGCCCCCGCAGCCGCCACAAACATATAAAGGGCAAAACTTGCGTAGACCTTCTTCAGGTGCTGCTGTGTTGAGGGGGTTATATGAGAAAATTTTAAAAGCACATCAAAGTTGATCTTTCGATCAAATATGTTCATGGTTCCAGAGTCTGTGCAACACAGCCTCCACTCTTCCCAACCCGCCTCTCCAAGGCCAACTAGCACTTCTAACACCGGAAATGCTCTCCGAGCTATCTTCTTATGTCAGCCTCCCAAATAGCTAGGACTATAGGTGCATGCCACCACACCTGACTAATTATTTTTATTTTTTGTAGAGATAGGTTCTTGCTATATTGCTCAGATCTTTGTGTTATGATGAGTGGTTTTCAAATAAAATCTTAACCATTTTATATTTTTTAAATGAGGCTCTGGATCTTATCTAAGCATTTTACTTTAACTATCTTCCTCTGTCAGGAAAAGGAGAGGCAATATCTTTGTTATCGCCAGGTGCAGGCAGAAGTCCAAGTTTCCCACCCAGCTGCTTTTGAGACCTGGGGAAAAGAAGTGCTTCACATTACTGCTGAAACTGTGGGACTTATGGCTCCCCCTGTGGTCTGTTTTGACACTGCAATGGAGATGGCCTTATTACTAGTTAATGAAGAAAGCCCCCACTATCCTTGGGGCCTCTTCTGACACCACTCCAGCAGGGAGAGGGAGTGGTGCCTCATTATTGCTGAATGTGGGTAGAATTACAGACTCACAAATGGTTTCCAGTACCCTCTCATTCTAGTCAGCAGGAATGGATATCCTGGCTTCTTACTTGGCCTTCTTAAACAGCCCCCTTTTGGGGGATTTGGTCACCTAGCTATAGTGATGTATGATGGAAAGTCTCAGCTCCTAAATCAGCCTTTGCAGGTATAAATGAGGATGGGGCCACCGTCTTAACTGTGGTGCTTTGCTTGTATTGTCTAAAAGCTTTCTGCCTTGCTGGACTGTCCTTTTTCTGCCTTTGTAGAGATAGCAGGTTTTTGTTGTGGCATTTTTGTTTGTTTGAGCCCACTGTCATTCCAGTATTATTGGCTTCTTCAGCTATAAGTGTGGGATTTATGAGGCTAAAAGAAAGTGTAGGAAACTCATCCCCATTTCTTTTCTTATGTCCCAAAATCTCTTGTTGGCCTGTCTTCTCTCTACCTTTCAGTGCCTTCTTGTATTTGTTTTATGTATAATGCTCAGGGTTTTAAAGTTGTGTTTAACAGGGCAAATAAGAGAAATGCATATACTCTATTTTCCCAGAAGCAGAAATTGGACACATTCCATTTTAAGATGAGGAAACTAAAACCTTGGATAAGGATCTGCAGCTAATAGTGGCATGATATAATTAGATCCCTATTTTTGCAACATTTCATTCAATGCTCTTATCATTGTAACAGTCAAATTTGGGTATCTTCTTGATACTGAAAGGATATGCAACCCTGTGATGATGTAACAAGAGACAGTGTTGTAAGAACACTGTAGGGACTGCCACTGCTCCTGGCAACTTTCCTTTTTTACTCTGTGAAGCAACATCATTCATCTAGGTAATAACCAAGGTTCATTGCCTGACACCAAGGAAATCAAGGACATTGACACACCAGAGTGAAGTCAAGAGCAGAAGTTTAATAGGCAATAGAAGAAGAGTTCTCTGTGTAGAGTGGGGTCCTGAAGAAAAATGGGTTGCCAGTTCTCTGGTGAAATGCATAGGGTTTTATAAATGAGCTTAAAGAGGCAGTGTCTAATTTACATAGGGCCCAAAAGATTGGTCAAACCAGATGCACTATTTACATAGCATGTTAAGAAGCTGGCTGCCCCACCCTAATATTGTATTATGCAGATGGATTCTCTGCCTGGTTGGTGCCATGTTGCCTGTGCCTTTACTATATAGGTGGTTGACAGAAGGAAAGATTGAGCCTCCATGTTGAACATGCCTGGCCCCAGGTAGCCTTTTCCTATTGGCACAGTCGCCGGCATTTACCTGTGCAAGCTTCCAGCTTGCTTATCTATGTCTGCAGCTCGATTTTACAGGCTGTTCTTCATTAAAAAAGAAATTATTTGGGGTCTGCTTTTTTGTTAAAAGGGAAGCCTTACCAAGGAGTCTCTTACCCTAACTGCCTAAATAATTTCTTTTTAGTTCCTGTGTCATCTGTATTCTTTAAGAACCTCTGCACGTCTTAGCATCACTATGTTGCCTGTCTCCAGTGATGGGTCCAGAATTTCTATTTATGAGAGTTTGGAGGCAGGAATGTGAATTTAAGGCAGGGCCATGGACTTACAGCTATAGCCTAGTAAATGTTCTGTTTTTACTCAATCGTATATTTTATATGAGGTAGAATGGGAGATGGCTGATGGAAGCAGGAAGTGTTAAATTGCCTGAAGCCATCCAACTACCTGCTTTATGTATTTTTAAAATTTTATTTTGTTATGGTATGAACACTTAATATGAAATCACTCTCTTGAATTTTTAAGTTGTATAATACAGTATTGTATTAAGTACAACGTTATACAGCAGATTTCTAGAAATTCACCTTGTTTAACTGAAACTTTATGTTTATTGATCACTAATTGTCCATTCCCCACTTCCCCCAGTCCCTGGAAACCACTCTTCTACTCTTGGATTCTATGAACTTAACTACTTTAGATACTTCATATAAATGGAATCATACAGTATTTGTTTTTCTGTGCCTGAAATATTTCACTTAACATAGTATCTTCCAGGTTTATGAATGTTGTTGCAAGTGACAGGATATCCTTTTTTTTAAAGGCCAAATAATACTCCATTATATGTATATACTACATTTTCCTTATCCATTCAGACAGATTGGTTTTCATATCTTGGCTATTGTAAATAGTGTGTCACTTAACATGGAAGTACCAATACATCTTTGAGATCCTGATTTCCATTATTTGGGACAAATGTCCCAATGTGGAATTGCTGGATGATATGATACATATATTTTTTATTTTTTGAGGAACATCTATAGCGTTTTTTATTGCAACTGTATCATTCTGCATCCCCCAACAACAGTATGCAAAGGTTTCAGCTTCGCCACGTCCTTACCAACTTTTCCATAATTTTCCAACTTATATGGAACTACAAAAGACTATGACTAGCCAAATCAATCTTGAGAAAGAGCAACCGAGGTGAAGTCTTCACACTTTCTGATTTTAAATATATTACAAAGCTAAAGTAATCAAAACAGTATAGTACTCATGTAAAAGCAGGCATATAAACCAGTAGAACAAAATAGAGCCCCCAGAAATAAATCCATACATATATGGCCAACTCTTCTTTGAAAAGAGTATCGAGAAGAAACAGTAGGGAAAGAATAATCTCTTTGAGACTAGCAAATTATGTGGGAAAACAGGATATCTACATGGAAAAGAATGAAATAGGACCTTTATTTTATGCCATACACAAAAATCAACTGAAATGGATTAAAGACTTAAGTGTAAGACCTGGAACTATAAAACTCCTAGAAGGACATATAGGAGAAAAGCTTCTTGACATTGGTCTCAACAATGATTTCATGGAAACTATAGACTAAATGTTTGTATTCCTAAATTTGTATGTTGAGACCTGAACCCCCTATGTGAGAATATTTGGAGATGAGGCCTTTGGGAGGTGATTAGATCATAAAGATGGAGCCCTCATGAATGGGAATAGTGCCCCTATGAAAGAGAACAAAGAGAGAACTTTTATCCCTGTTGGTTATGTGAGGTTACATATGGAACACATGGAAGTGACAGTGGAAAATGGCCATCTATGAGTAAGTGGGCTCTACTAGATGTTGAATCTGCTAGTGCCTTCATGTAGGGCTTCGCAATCTCCAGAACGCTTAGAAATAAATCACTGTTGTTTGTAAGCGACTCAGTCTGTAGTATTTTGTTATAGCAGTCTGAGCAGACTAAGACAATTTATAAAGGCTGGGTGTGGTGGCTCACGCCTATAATCCCAGCACTTTGGGAGGCTGAGGCCGGTGGATCACGAGGTCAAGAGATCGAGACCATCCTGATCAACAAGATGAAACCCCGTCTCTACTAAAAATACAAAAAAAAAATTAGCTGGGCATGGTGGTGCGCACCTGTAGTCCCAGCTACTCAGGAGGCTGAGGCAGGAGAATTGCTTGAACCCAGGAGGCGGAGGTTGCAGTGAGCCGAGATTGTGCCATTGCACTCCAGTCTGGGTGACAACAGTGAAACTCCCTCTCAAAAAAAAAAAAAAAAATACAATGGATAAAATACCAAAAAGCAAAAGTAACAAAAACAAAAACAAGTAGGACTACATTGAGCTAAAAAGCATCTGCACAGCGAAGGAATCAACAGAATAAAAAGCCAACCAATAGAATGGGAGAAAATATATGCAGACCATATATCTGGTAACAAGCTAATCTCCAAAATATAAGGAACTTCCAACAACTTAGTAGCAAAGAAACTAATAACATGATTTAAAAATGGGTTAAGGACTTGGCTAGACATTTCTCCAAAGAGTACATGCAAATGTCTAAACGGCATATGAAAAAAATGCCCAACATCACTAATCAAGAAGTGCAAATCAAAATCTCAATGAGATATCACTTGTTGTTTTAAGCTATAATGATAACAATATGCTGATATGATAGCCTCTGTTGGTTTTAATTCATTAATTTAGGAGGAAGATGGAATATTTGATTTAACATAAATTGGAGGTTATCTTTGACATGTGAAGATTAAGGAACACCTTAATGAGTAAATTTGCTTACTTCCCCCCTACGGTTGGCATCAGGTACACATCCATATCCATATAAAAGTAGAATCTGTCACTTCTGAGTTCCGCTTATCCTTGCATAAGTCTCAAGTATCAAAATTGATTTTTTAAAATGTTAATTTGAAAAACAGCAGAGATAAGATTCAAGGATGCTTGCTCTTAGAGAAGGATTATTTATTAAGGGAAAGACTTGTCTTTTGAAAATTATTATCATAATTATCACTAAGAACCAATTCTATATTTCTTATTAAGGCAAAATCCCTATTAGGCTAACACAAGAAGGATGTTGATTGCAGTGGGATATCTGTCTGAGTGGGGCTAAGTAATCAGCTTTGAAATGTCACTCAGAGGGAATTAGCAGGGTAGAGGCTATTTTCTGGCAGATCTCAATATATTTCTTTTTTGAAATTGTCAAGGACTTGACATTGGCCTTGCATATATTCTATGTAACCCCAGAAGCAATATTTAGGACTCAAAAAATTATATTGGGACAAAGAAAATAGCATAGAAGTCAAAGAAGCCACATCAACTCATTGACTACGTTGAGAGTCATTGAATCATGTACTCTTAAAGTCATTGGTCCCAACCCACATTGGTGAGTAATTCTCTTCTGCAGTCACCATGCTACAGTGATGTTTTTCCATCTCATGCTAGGAAAATTGGAGACGTGCAATGACAGCCCGCTTCAGTCTCTGTGTGCTGACTTCTTGTCTTCATTTGTAGGGCTTGACTCTATTCCATAGGGCCATGCGAGAGTTTTGTGGGTAAATAATGAGAATGCAATTTAGCTTAAGTCATTTAAAAACATTAAAAACCCCAATACAATAGGCATTTGACATTTTGAAAGGCTACGTGACAAAACCTTTAATGCTCTTCAGACATGAAAATATTGCTATAGAACATAATTTCTTCCTAAAATGTAACAAGTTCTCAAGTAGCAAACTACAGCCACCCACCACTGAGTTTCCAGATGCTGAGAAGTTGACTAGTTTTATTCACTCTCTAAGAATTTGGTAAAACACTTTACCTCTGTAATTGCCACAGCTTATGCATTTCTTCATTCCTTTACTCATTCTACAAAGATGTTTGACGGCCTAGTCTGTGACAGGTACTATACTAAGCTCTAGGTACTTAAGGGAATAAAACAAATTTAGTCCTTGATCTTAGAGTGTTAACCGTCTCGAGAAGAATATCAAAACAAGAACAGAATAGACAAATAAATAAATATAAATTATGGTAAGTGCATGGAAGGAAATAAACACATGATACATGGTATTACATATTGCAGAGGAAGACCTCTATATTTATTTATTTAGAGATGGGCGTCTCACTATATTGTCCAGGCTAGAGTGTGGTGGCTATTCATAGGTGCAATCATCACGTATTATAGCTCAGATCTCCTGGGCTCAAGCAATCCTACTGCCTCCACCTCCTGGGTAGCTGGACTGTAGGCATCTGCCACTGCACTGGGTTGCAGTGGAAGGCCTCTTTGAAGGAATGACATTTAAGCTGAGAATTGAAAGAGTCATTTACATAAAAGCAAGAGAAAGAGGATTCCTAATACAGGAACAGCATGTGTAAAGTCGCCGAGAATGGGGCATTTAAGGGTTGAAAGAAAGTCAGTGTGGCTGCAGAATAGTGAGAAAAGGTAAGGGACCAGGAAGTGGGTGAGTTTTGTCAGACAGGAAAGAGCCAAATCATGTGGGGTCTTTGTAGACTGTGGTAAGGAGTTTGGATTTTATTCTTATGCAGTAGGAAGCCAATGAATGGGTTTTAATAGAAAAGTGACATGTTCACAGATCAGGTCAAACTCGTGGCAATCCAGAGCAGCCATTTTGCAATAGGGTCTAGAATTTGCTTTTTAACTCCAAGGAAGGGCAGCCAGTAACCACCTGTGACATACGAAGATGACTGTAGTTGTTTTGGAGGAAACTGGTTGCTGGAGTCATGTCAGTACCTGGTAGAGAAGCCTACAAAATAGTCGATGTGAGATGATAGCTTAGACTAGAGTGGCAGTGGTGGAAGTGAAGAACAGTGGAAGGATTCGATGTACATTTTCAATGTAGAAATGACAGAGACACTGTGTTGATATAGAGCAACCAGACTGAGTGTCGGGGCTGAAGTGGAGGAGTTTGGGAGACAGGAGTGGTGAGCTGTCTTAATTGTGCAGTTTGGGAATGCCTTGAGATGTCAGGAGACATTTGAGAGGAGATATCTAGCAGGAGTCTGCAAACCAGAACTCTGAGGAGAGCTTTTGGGTATAAATTTGGTATTTGGGAGTATATAAATGGAATTTAAAGTCATGGGAACTGAACAGATCCCATAGAGAGAGGGCAATTAAGAAAAAAATAGAGCTCAGGACTAAATCCTGGGGAAAGACAACAATTAGAAGTCAAAAGGAGACAGGGGTCCACAAGGAGTGTCCGGAGGATTTGACAAAGAGATAGAAGGAAACCCAACAGAGGATGGTATTAATTGAGGAAAGAGTTAAGGGGAGAAGGGGAGAAAGAATGATAAAAGTGTCTATAGTATTGAATGCTGGTAAGGAAGAGGCTGGTTCCTGATTTCAAAGAGCATAAGCATCAAATCAAATTTAGAAGTATTTATCATATTTATTTCATGTGTATTTCACCTACAATCATGTTTCTCCTGCAGGAGTGATGACTGCTATCTGATTCATGAACACTGTCAAATTTTGTACTTAAAAAAAAAGACTTTAATCTTTTTTTCTTTATAAATTTTGACTCTCCCTGAATTCCCTGGATAATTTCCACAATTCTCTTTATTTTGCTAACATATGCAGAATCTATAATCCTTGAAAGTCTCTACTTTTCAAATGCAAAACTATTTTAGATGCAGTTTATTATCTTTTGAAAATTATCCATGTTCATTTAAAAACAGATTAGCTCTTCACCTTCAATATATTTGAACTGTCATGTTACAGGAGACTTGGAATATTAAGCTTATTGGAAAGTTAGGACAAGTTTTCTCTAGAGGGTGAAGAGTAGCTTTAAATTCGAAAGTGGAAAAAAGTTCCATATCTTAAAATAGAAGCAAATTTTTTCTCTGTTTCACATTCTCTCAAGATATCCGCAATCCTTTTTAAACTCTCTATTTATTATTAAATACAAGCAATTTAGCTCCTTTGTAAGGTTATGCAAATAACTCATCCAGAATTAGCATTTAACATGCAGTTCTTATATCCACACAAATGTTTCGTATAAAGTTGTTTTAAAAAGATTCAAATCTTTATAATTAGGAAGGGAAAATATATTAATAGGAATAAAGGGATACTCTGCTAATCTCCCATATGTAAATTAGCTTATAATTTCCATCATTTACTTTGGAAGCAACAGAACAATGGAACTTTTATTCTTTAATATTGCTGTCTCTCTCCTTCTCCAGCCAGAAAGTCTGTGCTTATACATGTATATCTAAAGAAAAATAACAAGGAATGTTAAATATTTTAGTTTTTTGGGAGAGAGATGGTTGGGTAACTTGTGAATGGGATTGAAGTTGATACTCTGCTTTGGCAGCCTAAGGGCTAAAATGCAATGTAGACCCTCTTGGGTTCTCATTTCAACTGCTTGCATTTCTTTTTGCTCTTTGTTATTGGGACTGGATTCACTCCTGCCTACCTGGAACCTTCCTGCACAGCTTCCCACTCCTTCCCCAATCTTTACATAGAGGACATTTTCGTAGGATGTATGAGGAAATAGTTCATTTCCTTGAAGTGCTTTCTCTTTGCTTTAGTCTTTTACTTTGTCTTTGGAAAAGAAGACCATGCCAGTTGCAGATAGACATTGGTCAACAGCATAGTTCTGGCTAAGTTCTTCAGTCTCACTTATTTCTGGAGCTTGGATGGTATCTTCCAAGATTCCAGAAATCAAGTGAACTGTCTGGGAATTTATCATAACTAGGTGAATTGGAATTAGGATTGTGAAGGATTCAAAACCAAGTCAGACAAAACTGTTGAAAGGATTAAGTTGTTGAGTCTGGAAGTGAAAAAGGGAGCTCTGAAGAGACTTTAAACAGAAAGTAGGGGCCGAGGCTGGGCACGGTGACTCACGTCTGTAATCCCAGCACTTTGAGAGGCCAAGGTGGGTGGATCACTTGAGGTCTGGAGTTCGAGACGAGCCTGAACAACATGGTGAAACCTCATCTCTACTAAAAACACAAAATTAGCTGGGCATGGTGGCAAGCGTTTGTAATCCCAGCTAGTTGGGAGGCTGAGACAGGAGAATCACTTGAACCTGGGAGGTGGAGGTTGCAGTGAGCCAAGATCACACCACGGCATTCCAGCCTGGTCTTAAAAAAATAATAAAGTAATCGTTCTACTATAAGGACACATGCACACGAATGTTCATTGCAGCACTGTTTACAATAGCAAAGACCTGGAACCAACCCAAATGCCCATTGATGATAGACTGGATTAGGAAAATGTGGCTCATATACACCATGGAATACTATGCAGCAATCAGAAATAATGAGTTCGTGTCGTTTGTAGGGACATGGATGAATCTGGAGAACATCATTCTCAGCAAACTGACACAAGAACAGAAAATGAAATACCGCATATTCTCACTCATAGGTGGGTGATGAAAAATGAGAACACATGGACACAGAGAGGGGAGTACTAAACACTGGGGTCTATTGGGGGGAAAAGGGGAGGGCAGGCGGGGGGTGGGGGAGCTGGGGAGGGATAGCCTGGGGAGAAATGCCAAATCTGGGTGAAGGGGAGAAAGGAAGCAAAACACACTGCCATGTGTGTACCTATGCAACTGTCTTGCATGTTCTGCACATGTACCCCAAAACCTAAAATGCAATAAAAAATTAAAAAAAAAAATAATAATAATAAAGTAACATAAATAGAAAGTCGGTTTAAATATGTTTCTCACAGTTGCCAAGTGGTATAACTAGGAAAATGGATAGAAAATGTATAAGGGATACATGTTTCTCCTTCAGCAAACGTTGAAGAATCTTCCAGGTATTGGGTAGAGTTCTGGGAAACTAGATGCAAGGTGGAAATAAGCATTTATTCACTTCAAGAAAGTTACTGTCCAGTGGGAAAGATGTGCAAGGAAACAATTATAAGAGGTCATGATAAATGCAAACAATACGTATTGTAGTCAGTGAGAGAATATAGGAAGGCATCCTGTATCTGATTTGGGGGCAAATCTGCTTGGACTATATGCTTGGAGGTGCCAAGGGCACCTCCTCCATCCTCACTGACACCACGTCATTCAAAATTCCATTATCTTACATCTGAGTTTCTACAACTGTCTCAGAGCTGGTCTCCCTGCCTTCAGCTTTGCTGCTTCAATTGTTTCACCCACATTGCAGACAAAGTAATATTTCCAAAAAGGAAAACCTGATTTCCCCACTAAAAGCCTTCAATAACTTTTCATCACCACAAAAACAAAATCCAAACCCTTAATCAGGCCCTTGCTTCAATCTCTAATCTTTCCTTGCTCCCCACATTTAAGGTCTATTTACAAAGAACTACTTGCCACTTTCGTAAGTCACCATTTCTTCCTAACTCCTGGGCTTCTGCACATGCAGCTCTCTGCCTGAAACCAGCTGCCCTCAAAATCCACACATACAGAAGTACAAAAAGAGAACTTGTGTGTATACATACCATGCGTATATCCATGCGCACCCACCCTTACACACTTCCCATGTCTACCCTTAGCCTCACTAACTCATTTGCTCTTCCTTCTGGTCCACGACACCCCAAGGCTCTGTTATTCCTCCTTGTGGGTACACTTCTGTGTAGCACCCTCTGTGCACACTTAATCAATGAACTCATCACACTATATTGTACTTGGCTGTTTACTTTTCCATCTTTTTTTTTTTTTGGATACAGGGTCTTACTTTGCTGCCAAGGCTGGAGTACAGTGGTACAGTCTCAGCTCACTGCAACCTCCACCTCCCAGGTTCAAGCAATTCTCTTGCCTTAGCCTCCTGTAGCTGGGATTACAGGTATGCGCCACCATACCCAGCTAATTTTGTATTTTTAGTAGAGATGGGGTTTCACTATGTTGGCCAGGCTCATCTTGTACTCCTAACCTCAGTTGATCTGCCTGCCTTGGCCTCCCAAAGTGCTGAGATTACAAGCATGAGCCACCACGCCTGGCCCCATCTTTTTTACTGGAGGAAAATCTGCTTGAGTGTGGGGACCACATCTTATTCCTCATTATATTCCCAGCAGCTACCATAGTTCCAAGTACATTGTAGAATGTGACTATATATTTGTTTAATAGATGAGTAAATGAATAAACTTTTCAAGAATGCTATCCTAAAATGTGAGATGGTGAGGTCCCTGTCTCTGTCAGTATACAAATATATGTTACATATCTCAGTGGAGTGATGGTTCTAAAAACTTTGGAAGTTTCTTCAAACCAAAAAACTATGATTATATAAATCTGTCTTAGATCCTTGTTAGAAAGAGGTAGTAAATAAGTAAATAATCCACAAACTATTTCTTACCTATGGGCAGTGTGATGGTTAATTTTACGTTGACTTGACTGGGGTATGATATACTCAGATATCTAGTTAAACACAATTTGTTGGCATGTGTGTGAGCGTGTTTCTGGAGGAAATTAGCATTTGAATTGGTGGACTAAGTAAAGTGGACTGTCCTTCCCAGTGCGAGCGGGCATTGTCTAACCCACTGAGGGCCCAAATAGAACACAAAGATGAAGCAAGGTTGAATTCTTTCTCTGTACCTGACTGCCTAAGCTGGGGTATTGATCTTCTCATGCCCTTAAACTAGGACCCAATTAATGCTCCCAGTTCTTAGGCCTGTGGGCTCAGAGTGAGACTGACATCACCAGGTTTCTTGGGTCTTTAGCTTGCAGGTGGCAGAGGGCATGAAGAAACTGAGGCCCAGAAGGGTGAAGTGAGATGCTCTTAGTCGCAGATAGACTATACTCTCACCCCAGTACTTTCTACCACAGCTTACCATTTCACAAACAAGGCTGCTTGGGTTATTTGGAATCTCACTGCTCCTCTTATTTCTAATTATTTTAGACCAGATTTTCCCTGAAAGAACTAAAGCAGGAAAAGGCACATGACAAACCTCGCGAACACCAAACTGGGAAGGAAGGGGTGATTTATTCGGTCAGGAGCAGGGCGGCATAGTTGCCTAACAGCCAAGCTCACCTAACAAAGAAAGTCCCTGCCCTTTTAAAGGCTTACAACTCTAGAAATTACACGTGAAAGGGTCTTGACCCATGAAGTAGGCGTGGGGGTGGGGGTTTGATCCTGTTTAAGTAAAAACAGTGCCTTCAGAGAGATTCCGCCATGCCATATTCGTGATCTATACATGGGATTGTCTTCAGCAGCAGGGGTCTTATCCTTAACCGGCTGGTGGTGCCAACTAGTCCCTCCTCTGGCTAATTTCAGACTTCTCCTTTCGAGATGCAATATTGAAAGCCGAAGGTGATTAAGGGTCTTCTTCCTCAGAACAAGTTCCTAATGAGAGGCCAGCACTGGTCAAAGCAAGTCTGTTCTGTCAAGGACTCTAAGAGACTCTTTCCTTCTGGCCTCTTTCTTCCATACTCAGTTAAGCAAGAGAAGGGACTCAAGGTGTGCTTTTGTCTTGAAAGCGAGAGGCCTCACAGCATCAACCAGGGGAAGGCACTAAGAGTAAGTCTGAGGCTGACTTTCTTCCTCAGCGACCCTCAGGGTGGCCGTTCTTCCAGATCCACCTGCATTTCTTCTGTTGCTGTTGCCAGCCACATCCACGCCGACCTCCAGGTGTCTCCTTTTCACCAAAAACGTGGTGCTATTTAGACAAGACTTTGCTCAGGAATGCAATGATTATTGTGAAGTCTGCATAATTTCGCCTTTTGTCAGTCATGATGTAGCAGGACACACCTCAGACAGAACCTCTTGGACACCAGGTTTGTGAAGGAAGTAGCTTTTTACGTGGCTGGGAGAGAACCGAACTCCCTGACTAGAAAATCCTGGCCTCTTTTAAAGACTCACAATGTTAGGGGGTACATGTGAGGGGGTTGTGATCGATAAGGTAAGCAAGGGGTATGTGACTTAAGTGGGTGTCTAATCATAATTAAGCAAGAACAATGCCTTCGGGGGAAGATTCCTCCATACATGCCTGTGATCTATGGATAGGATAGGAACTAGGGTGGGGGTTTGATCTTTGACCTCCAGGGCGGCTTGTGGTACCGGTTTTGTCTCCCCCACTGACCTTCTGTTTTTAACTTTTACTTCTCCTTTGAAATGCAATGTAGAAGGTTAAGGGGAAGTGGTCTTAGAAGCTTAAGGAAGGAATCTCCTTCCTCAATGAGACAGGAGTCACTCTCCATCAGATGATAAGGCTCCTGAGTTACTTTCTCAGCCTCACTGGTAGCTCCATAAGCGACCGTCCTGTCCCTCTTTGTTGGGGCTATGAAAAGAATTCAGGTTATCTTAATTAAAAAGACATTGTAAAAAAAAGACATATGGGAATGAGGAGAGCAAGTGCCGGTGGGATTAGAGAAAGGCCTGCTTCCAGGCCTCAGGGAGAAGGTTTGTATTCTAGTATTTTGTGATTAACATGACTTAACTTCTCTATCCTGTTGTTTCTGAGGAATTTCTTTCTACATGTGCATTTTATACTTTATGACTGTGGCATTATTAGAGTGTCTGCTCATTTATAACCTTTACTGCCTAATGGCCTCTGCAAATGACCTTCTCTGCACATCCTTTCCCCTTCAACCCCTCTGCTAATTGCTCAACTCTGTTTTTTATTTCACTTTCAGATTCCTGAGAGAAAAATCTCATTGCCCTGCTTAATCAACATCATGCCTTGCTAGACAAAGCTGTTCTGTCAAACCACCTAATAAACCTCTGGATAGCCTGTATATTGGCTGGCCTTTTATCACTTGGCCTGGGAAATATTGTGTTATATAAAATGTTATATAAAACACTTAAAAGTGGGAGTCAAGCGGTCACTGGGCTGCGCTTGAATCTTTCGCTGCCTTGGTGTCCCTGTCGGGCTTCCTAGTAGCAGCCTCACAGAAAAATGAAAGATAACTGAATATAATTGGGTAAGCGAAGATGAGAATGATGAGCCCATTGACATACCATCAGAAGACAATGGGACAGTGCTTCTGTCCATGGTTACAGCCCAGTTTCCAGGGGCATGTGGGCTTCCTTACAGAAATCCACCGTCACAATGTATGAGAGGTGAGAGGTGTCCGACTGGTAGAAGGAATGCTGCATGCCCCTGATGCTGGCTGGGGAAATCTGGTGTATGTTGTCAGTTACCCCAAAGATAACTAAAGCAAAATGGATGAGACAGATGCTTCCTCAGCAGTGAAAGTGAAAAGAGCAGTCCAGAAGACATCCGATTTCATAGTGCTGGGTGTCCCATGGAAAACAACTGAACAGGACCTGAAAGAGTATTTTAGTACCTTTGGAGACGTTCTTATGGTTCAGGTCAAGAAAGATATTACAACTAGTTATTCAAAGGGGGGGTGGCTTTGTTTGTTTAACAAAATATGAAACACAGGTGAAAGTAATGTCATAGCAACCTATGATAGATGGATGATGGTGTGACTGTCAACTTCCTAATTTTTAAGCAAAGCCCAGCTGAGTCTTTGAGAGGCAGAAAAGTGCTTGTGGAGCACACAAC